CACTCCAGTATATTAACACTGCACTGAGAGAGAGAGGGGTTCATACAGACACACTGACTGGACACTCCAGTACATTAACACTGCACTGAGAGAGAGGGGGGTTAATACACACACACTGACTGGACACTCCAGTACATTAACACTGCACTGAGAGAGAGGGGGGTTAATACAGTGGGCTGATTAATTCACTGGTTGGTCCTGACAGGATGTCGAAAGGTCCAGCAGTGGGCATCGACCTGGGTACCACCTACTCCTGCGTGGGAATCTTCCAGCATGGCAAAGTGGAAATCATCGCCAACGACCAGGGAAACCGCACCACGCCCAGCTACGTGGCCTTCACAGACACCGAGAGGCTGATCGGAGACGCCGCCAAGAACCAAGTGGCCATGAACCCAAGCAACACCGTCTTCGGTGAGTCTGAGATCTGGTCTTCGTCCACCAGGGGGGCAGCTGGTCCAGCGGTTCAGGTCCAGGACCTGTAATAGTCATTGTGGCCACTAGGTGGCAACCTAGTGCTGCTGCATAACCTGGTTTATTTTGGTCTGGAAAGGTTTTGGCTTAAGGATGAAGCTTTAGCTATAAACAAAGATATCATTTCCTATATTTGTAGAGAATGTTTTTAGATTACAGAATTATTCAATTTGATAAATATTGAAGTAGGCTCTTCTGATTTGGCTGTGTGTATTTTAAGTTTGAATACCTGATTCATAGTTTATTCAGTTCTTGGACGTTATTGTGGCCTGGTGGGTAGTGCTGTACTACTGAAGGGGACCCAGTACATCCCCTACTGGAGTGCAGCCCCACCTGGGAGACACACAGCAGCCCCTCTGCTCACAGATCAGGGGCAGGAGAGAGAAACTGCGGCACCAGGTGGACTAAGGGGGAACGGACTGTACAGCCCAGTGTGGGGTTTAGTCAGAACACTGGGGCTGACACCCCTACTCTGAAGACCAACCCTGCAGTCTTCAAAGACCGGGATATCAGTGGTGGTTGTTCAAGGTCTCACCCAAAGGGCAGGGTAACCTGTGGCCCCTCCCCCTCGGGCAGATGCGAAGCGCCTGATTGGCCGGCGGTTCGATGACCCGGTGGTCCAGTCGGACATGAAGCACTGGCCCTTCAAGGTGATCAGCGACAGCGGGCGGCCCAAGATGCAGGTGGAGTACAAGGGCGAGACGAAGACCTTCTACCCTGAAGAGGTGTCGTCCATGGTGCTCACCAAGATGAAGGAGATCGCCGAGGCCTACCTGGGCAAGGTAACTGAGATCCTTCCCTCCGTCTGTCCATCTTCCAGCTGCTTCCTCCAATTCGGGGTCACAGTGAGGGGGAGCTGCAGCCTGCCCCAGGAAGCAGCAGGCACAAGGAGGGGTACACCCAGTGGGCCAGTAGGG